CTCACCATATCCCAGCCATCAATCATGAATGAAAACCGCTTGGCTATCAACATTCTGCTCTTGTGTATATCCTGTGGAGCAAGTGCACTGGCAGCCTTTAGTCCCAATGCCTCTTCATCTCTGCCAGCAACCAATTTCACTGATATTGGCTCTGCGCCTCCAAAATATCTCACAGAGGCTGCAAATCTTCCCAAAACCAGACGGAAACGTTATATTTCCCAGAACGATATGCTTGCTTTACTTGATTACCATAATAAAGTCAGAGGGAAAGTTTTTCCCCCAGCCTCAAACATGGAATATATGGTAAGTCACGTATAATAATTTTTGAAACAAGTAGCCTATGATACAATCAGGAACTGTTTGGACATTAGAAAAAAAATTCTGCTTGTTTGAACTTTTGCTCTACACCCTCACAGCAGTTCAGTTGTGTTATTTATTTAATTGTATAATTACTTGGCACTTTACCTGGAAAGCGCATTGCTGCTGTTGTAGCTGGACATGTGAACGTTGCACATGTAACTGCGCTCATCACAGGATGCAGGAATGACAAACTTCTCCGTGTCCATTTGGCAACAGCAGCTGTTGAGCAGATTTAATTGGCTCGGACCACCAGAGTAGATCCTCTCCAGCATAGATCATTGTGCTTCGACTACAGCTAAGCACTGAAATACTTCCAAAAGTGCACAGTCATGGGAAATGCTGTATCGAATATGTTTCAATAGATCCAAATGTTAGCTTTTCTTTAATAATTATCTGATTTGACCAAGATTAAAGGGGTAAATATTTTAAAATGGTCTACTCTGGTGAAGAGAACATAGTTTTCCAGCATAAAATAAATTTTTGTCAATGCATATATCCATGGGTTATATCTTAACTCACTCAGGAATCAATAAAATCTGTTATTGTTAGGGGAAACTTTGCTTTTTGATCTTCCTATTATGGACATAATTTCATTTCTGTGGGTGAGAATGTTAAGAAAACCATCATGCTCTCTAAAAAAAAATAAAATGAACAATTTTTGCAATTATGCTATCAAATTAATTTATTTTAGTGGACTATGTCTCAGGTCTGGGATGACACTCTTGCAAAGACGGCTGAGCAGTGGGCGTCCACGTGTATTTGGGAGCATGGTCCTCGCAGTCTTCTTAGATTTCTGGGTCAGAACCTTTCAGTCCGAACAGGAAGGTATGCATCTTCATATTCTTTACCAGTTTGTGATCAGTGATGTTTCTTATAGTCCTATGTTTGACTGTACCAATGGACATTTAGGCCTGAATAACCAATCTAAGTATTTCATCACACCACAATGAGATTTGGTGCTATGTTTGGATTGTTTACAGATACAGGTCCATTTTGCAGCTGGTAAAGCCCTGGTATGATGAAGTGAAGGACTATTCTTTTCCCTATCCTCGAGACTGTAATCCCAGATGTCCCCTTAAGTGCTACGGGCCTATGTGCACTCATTATACACAAGTGAGTTGAAAGATTTCTATGGAGTGGAATGTGATTGCATGTCACATTTCTATGACATGCAAGAAAAAATATCGTGTGTACGATTTACTAATTCGTTCCCTTGATGTACTAAAACGTGCACACG